TCACCCCCCACAGAGCCGCATCACCCCCTCACATAGCCAAGGGACTCCGCAGTATGGCCAAGGGAGCCTCCATCCCCAGTGCATCCCCCACACCCCACCCCCCCGCAGGGAAAAATGGGAGAAAACCAAGGCAAACCCCGCAGCATCCCCCATTTAGACCCAGGAGGGTCCCCAGGCATTTTACACCAGACATGACTTTCTCCCCTGCACCTCCCAGGAGCTGCGCTGAGGGGTTTGCTGTCTGGTTTCGGTGACAGCCACCCCTGGGGAGAGGAGGGTATCTCCTCTTCCCAAACGCATGTCTGCTCCAGCACAACCTCAGCTACTTTAGAAACCCTCGTCCACAGCTTTCTCCGAAGACGCTGGTGCTGTACAGGGCACGTTGGGCTCTAGCAGTGGTGATTCACGAGTCTTCCTCAGTCTCCGGCTGGTTATCGCATCCCAGCACTGAAAAAAGAAGTGATTGGTAGTAGCAGAACTTGGGACAAAACCCGGTGATTTGAGTTGCCATCACCCCTCCAGCAGGTGAACAACCTGCAGAGGCACCGGCATGGACAGGACTGTCCCAGCCATGCATGGAGGTTGTGTCCCCTCCCCGAGCTGGTGTGACAGGGGAGCAAAACCTGCCCCAGATCCCCCACTGCATCCCCTGGGCTCGGCCGCTCATCCCCGGGCTCTCTGCAGCTCAGCACCTATCGCTCCCCGGGGCACGGAGGATGCTCGGTGCATCTCGGGAGGCCCTGCCAGCCCTGCCTGGTTGCAGCCCCTGCCAGCAGCCTCGCTGTCTGCAAGCTGTCACACTCCCCGGGTAGCAGGGACCCTCCGGCAGGCCGCTGCCTCTCCCAGCCTCCCAGCAGTGACGCTGGGAAGATGAGCGTGTTCAGCCCGGAGTGTCTCCATCTGTCAGGACGCGTGACTTCTGTCCCGCAGCGTTCGTTTTCCTGACCTGCCTTGCATTTGCAGCCCCAAAGTTACTCCTAAGAGCTAACTTAATTTTTTTTCTTCAGCAGTTTTAGCCCATCAATACTCGTCCTGTCTTTGTTGACTGATGAGAATAATTAGTCTCTGGTCCTTTTATAGCACATCTGCTCTTTTTAAGATGGTATCGCTTATAGCACTCTCTTAATCTATAGAGAGGGAAACAGTTGCATTTAATTAATTGGTCCCTAAATAAACTAATTACTGACAGTAATTGCAGCACACTTTGCACGCCGTTCAAACGCCTGTGCAGAGATCTGACAGGCAAGCCACTCAGTCTAATGACAAGAAATGAAAGCAAGGGAAGAAAATACAGTTTATCTTTAGACAGTCTGCTTAAGACTATTATTGTTTAATTATTATAGAACATATTGGTTAGTACCGAACTATGTCATGGTTCCTGTTCAGTTTTGCTTCAAGGTTGCTTGGACTATCTGCAAAAGATATTGAAAAGCTATGCCAGGAAAAAAAAAAACCAAACCAATTTTAGCTTTTTATTACTTTTATGAGTCAAATGTCATTGTCTAGCAATTCATCATTGCATCTTTGTTCAGAAATATGAACGATGGAGGTTCTTTGCTTGGGCCATTCGTTTTGCTTTCTATGCCTGGGCTCCTGTACTGCAATAAACAGCCTCCTTGCTTCCCAGTGAGTGTGTCAAAACAATTCTCCACTGATCTGAGCCCAGGATAGAAGCAAGGAAAAACAATGTTATAGCAAGGACTTAGCAACTTGGGCTGCCTTGAGCAAGTTTAGATTGTATTTTCTGGACTACCATGAGGTTCACCGACTCTAAGAGTAATTCTGTGAAGACTGGTTAGCTATGAAGTAGACAAAAGTTTTTATAATGTTTTTCTATATTGCAGCAGGGCGCAAGACCTTTGTTGTGAGCGTGGTCTTGTCGTGCTCGGGGCTGTACAAACACAGCTCAAAGAGCCACGATCCCCTAGACTTCACAACATAAATTTCGACAGAAGGAAAGTGCTAATTAGCATCTGCAGTTTGGGAGCCATTCCATAGCCTGGGAAGCTGGCGGCTGGCCAGCCACAACTTTTATCAACCCCTCTTGCCGTTTAGGAAGTGTCCTGTGCTTGCCAAGTCTGTGGGATAAACAGACCAGCAGCAGCCAGGAGCCAAATCATTTGTAGGTTTTAAGTACAGTGTTTAGGTTATAATCACCTGCTTTCCCCCACCACAACCAGTGGGTTATTCTCAGTGTAAATCCTTCGACAAGTTCACGTGTTCACACTCCTGAACCCAAAAATTCTTGGTTTCCAAACACCTGACTCAGGAATATCGTGTGATCTTCCCATCATTCAGCATCCAAGGCCACTCTCTAGGCTTTTTTCCCCACCTCCAGCTTGCTCCATCCCCAGGGAGCAACTCGCAATGCTGCCATCAGGGAAGGGCACATTCACATCTGGTTGTCAACGACCCTGGGGACATCTTCCATCTGACACTCCCCTGCACCTAGGGGCTACGAGACCACAAAGCACAACCACAGCTGGGCATTGCTGGGAGCAGTGGGCTGCTGAAACACTGCCTGGCTTTCTGTATGTATTCCCAGTGCTCTGCCAGCCTGGGGATACTGGTGCTCTTTCTAGATTTAAGTCTCTTTCAGCAACTGCAGTTTGGGGGACACAACACACATCAAGCCCATGGCCTCTCAGAGATGCAAAAAAATAAAATAAATACACCTGAAATAGGGTAACAGAGGGCACTTAGTATCAGTGAAGGATAATGCTGCTCTGCCAGTGGTTTGCTCCAACGGGAAACACAACATGAGGGCTCTAATAAAGCACCCCCACAGGTTTTGCAGCCTCGCACCACGCATCTTCTGCCTATCGCAGACCCTGGGAGAGGGTTTGGAGGCAGCAGCCAGGTACAGTGACAACACAACCTTGTCATCGCCTGCCAAAAACTGTCTTTTCTCATTCCTAAGGGACTTTTTTCTTTTGCTACTCTCTGGCATTTGTTTTTGCTCTAAGCTCCCCAGCAGTAAATAGGACCAAGTGTGCAGCTTTGCAGGAGGAGACTTACCTCCTTCCAGGGACAGCTGCTCGCTGGTCCTGATGGAAGTGCCGGGCACTTTGCTCTGCCTCTTCCCCATGATCATGGAGGTGCCGTCTCCAAGCTGATCCCAAATATTCACGGAGGAAGCCTGAAAGGTTTCCACCGCATCATCCTCCTCTCACTGGGATGTGAGCAACACACTCACAGCCCCTCAGTCACCTTCGCTGCGTTTAAATGCAAACTTTTTGTTTAGGTGAGAACAGCAGTGTGATCCCCAGGTTGGGGGTCTGCCACAGCCACTTTTCTTCGCCAAGGGATGCATCTGCTTAAAAGAGTTAACCAAGCAACAACAGAGAGAAACTGTGTCTTAAATAAGCGGTTTAACCTGAACTGATGAATTACCCAGCACCACGAGCCAGCGTGCTACACGTTTCCAGTGTGAAACATCCCCAGCCCGTGGCCAGCACCAAATGCCAAGGCTTGTGGGGCAACATCAGCCTCAGCCAGAGCACCGTGGCTCTGAGGAGAAGTGTGCTTGAAGGCTGCTCCGTGGTAGCTTTGTCTGGCACATCATGTCACATCTCACCCCTCAGCTCGTGCCTCTGCACCCGACGTGACGTGTCAGACCGGCTGGAACATGACCCAGTGCAGCCGCTGCTTTGGATGGAAATGCCAACAAAAGGAAGGACTTAGAGAGGCAGGGCATGATTTGAAGGATGCTCCCCACGGATTCCCTCGTGCCCCTTTACACAGGGCAGTCCTCACCCCAGAGATATGAATAGCAGGGGGCTGCTGGCCTGAAGGGGCACGGGAGGAGCAGGGGGGATAATCCTTCCACGGGCGTCTTGGGTTGTGGTGGGAATAATGCAGAGCCTTGTGTCACAGCCTTGGAAGGTCAGAAACCGTGTCTCCGGGAAACACCTTCTCCTTCAAGCTTATTGACCTCTTTAAGCTTGTCAAGAGGTTTGTAGGGCAAGCACTCCCTGTACAGAAGCCGTGTTGAGTTTTCTGAAGGAAATCATATTTATCCGTTATTTCTACCCTTTATTAGACCTTCTGCTGACTTGTCTGTTACAAACCTCAAGCATGCAGGGCCTGCAGCCTTTGTCATACAACGCACCAAACATTTTGCTAAGCTGATAAAGCTGCATCTTCAAACTCCTCAGGCTCTTTTGGCCCCATGTCCTCTCCTGGATCGGCTCGTCTGGATTCTGATCCTGGCTTGCTGTGTAATCTTCAGGAAGCAGCTTAGTGCCAGAAAGCAATGGCTAGAGAAAAAGCAACAAGAAAGACTGGCATCAAAGAGCAGAACCCCACACAGAAGGGCTCAACACTAACCCACCCCCCTGCAAACTCCTATGGCAAGCAGCCCTTCCCCTGGCCCCATGCCCACAGCAGATTCCAGCTCCTTTTGCTGTTGTTTCCTACCAAAACGAGGAAGAACTCTTCCCCATCACTCCAGAGACGCGAGAGGTCACTTCATAAAAATTGAGTCCTGCAAAATCAGGGATGGCAAGTAATGCGAGAGGGCAGCGCAGGGTGTCCTATATCTGAAGAGGAAAAAACTGTATTTGGTGTGTTTTTAAATGATAAAGCAGGTCTTTCCTCACCGAGTTTGGTATTGTCCACCACATGTCGGGTACTGAAGCACGCAAAGATGTCTGCTTGGACGCACAGGGAGAGCAATAGGAGAGCAAACAAGTGGGTGGGTGATCATCCTGTGGGCAGCTAAAAGGCCAGGAGAGAGCTGAAACAGCTACAGTCTGGGAACATCACCCTCAGGTGAGTGCAGAGAAGAAGAGGAAGCCACTGATGGAGATCGGGAGCTTGGGGGTAGCACCTACTGGGAGGAGAAGAGACATTGCCGTGATCAGACTGGAGGGAGCTTGTCAGAACAAGGCTAGAGCAGAGTTTATCCTGCTTGGATCATCTTTTGCAGGGACACGTGAATCAGTGTTA